ATTGAAATATTTAGCTAAGCCACTCTACCCAGGGCCTTGGAAAAGATTTGCATATTTTTCAGACTGCTGGAGATGCCACCGTAAAGCTCCACCCGAGGAGGTCCCACTATCCCCGCTAGCAAAAGGCCTCCATACTCTTCACATCATATTTTTAAACGCTAAATGCTCCAGTCCTAGCAGAGGTGCGCCAACACTGATCCCGCTCTGATATCGCGTTTGTGTTGAAACAGAGAAACTTGAAAATTGGAAATTTTAAAAAAATGGTACCGGGGAAAGAGGAGTAAGTTTTGAAGGTCTACAGGCTGCCTTTTCCTTCTTCTGGGCTCGGGGGGAGGAGGAAAGCTTGCCGTTTTGCTCTACCTACGAACGAAGATACAGCAACATCAGCAGCTCCCTGCCTGGCTCGCCGTACTTCCTGCCATTCTTTGGTGCGCAAGGAAACACGAGCATCTCCTACGTGCTCCCGCTACGTTACGTGCTCCAACTGGGACGCTATCATAGGCCTGTTCCCAGGAGCAGATACGTGCAATGTTCGAGAAGGGCAGGAGAAGGGAAAAAAACAAAAATAAAAAGCACCTAGGGCCCTTGTTTAAAGGGAAAGCTCTCAAATAATAAAATAAAATAAACGCAGCGCATGAAAGCTGCACACACACCCTCAGGCGGGAAGAGAGTTCTCCCACCTGGTGAGCTACCTGCACCTCCTCAGGCCGGGGGCTGCTCTCAAAGGTGAGGGGCACGAGGCACACTGATGGAGATCTTGCAGATGATCAGAGCTAACGCTAGCTGATGAAATATCCCTGCGACTTGACCAAATTACTACCAGCTTAGGTGTGATGAAACATCCTCTTCCAGCCAGTCCGGGTGGGGGGATTAACACACACGCAACACCTCCACCATCCACTTTTGGCCGCTGTTGTAGATTGAATATACTGAGCTCTGGCTGCTCCAGAAGAAGGGCTATCCCTGCACAGACCTTCTGGAGAGGAGACTGAAGACACCACCTGCATGACAGGAGGAGGGACAGAGCCCCTGGGATTGGGAGACCTAGACCCAGGGGAGCAGGGCCCTTCTCGGCCGTGCTGCATTTCAGTGATGTCGATGATCCCGCAAGTAGCCAGAACAGCAGCAATAACGGTGAAGCTTTACCTCAACTGAAAAACATTTAAAAAATACCTTTCATTCCTAAGCGCAACCTTTATACTAGAGATGGTTTAAAAAGAAAAGTCAACTTTGACTCACGCGAACAAAGAATGTCACCGACAGCAAAACTCGCTGTATTTCATTACACTGGAAACGTTCTTTTTCTTTCTCTCTCTCTCTTTTTTTTTTTTTAAGTCTAATTTTACACGCCAGGGTTTTGTTTTGTTATGTTTTTCCCCTAAACAACTGATTTTATCTATGAGTCACAACGTTCTGCTAAGCTAAGATGCATAATGAAAGCAAAGGCACAACTTCAGCCATCCCAGAAGCAGCGGTCCCACTCTGCACCCCGCCGGAGCCTGCTTTCAGCCTACGCGCCTTTTTGGGGCGCGCTTCCCCCTCCCTAAGAGGTCCCCCCCGCTTTGCGGGCCTGTCCTTCTGCCACAGCCTCCCCGGCCAACGACGAGAAAGACGGTGAGACTGTCGGAAAGGAAATCACTGCTCTGCTTTCGGCAGCGCGTTACAGAGGGATGGGAGCTGTTGAGGGGGAGGCGGTTTTTCCTTTTCTCTTCTCTTCTCTCCTTGCTTGTAGATGATTTTTTCCCAATGCAAGCAACTGTTAGCCTTCGGTGGGGGAAAGGGGGCAGAAGGGAAGTGGGGCTTGCAATGCCTTCACACATCACTTTTTCAACGAGCAGCTTCTCTGTGCGCTGCTCTTTTTATGGTAAAGTGAAGAAGTTTCATTTCTCAGAGGAAAAGATGATATTAATACCCTAGCATGATACACTTCTCTCACTTTTGGGTATGAAATGTTTTATATAAATTTGGCCTTTACACATAAAAATAAAACTTTGAACTTCCTTTTAGGGGTGAGCAAGTGTTTACGGTACCCCTGGGACCAAACAGCTTTTTTAATAGCATATCGGACCCCGCGTGCTATAAAAGTAATCCAGAACGATTTAAAATTTACCAAACAGATTTAAAAAATAGACAAGAAATGAATGACTTGGTTTCCCCTAACACTCCTGCTTACACAAGACGCCAGCCCGTGCTCCCGGAGCAGAAGGCAGCCTCCTTGCCCCTCTCGAGGGGGCAGGCTGGACAGCACCATCCAGCGAGACACCGTGAGAAGTCGCTTTGTGCCGGGCTTTCAGCCGGCAAAGCCAGTGTCCGACCAGGCGTCCGACCCTCCGGCTGCGACGCTGAGCGCCGGGATGCCTCCTTCGGACAGGCGGCTCCAGCCACCGCTCCGCTTTCTGCCCATCGACCCTCCGATCCTACGCGCAACACATCTCTACAGGCAGCTTTGCTCCAGCTAGAGCTCTTCGGTCCGTAACGAAAATTATTAGGACCCCAATGTTTTCACTTCTTTTCTCTGGCAGCACATAGGACCGCACAGCAATACCAGTAAATTATATGCATTTACAGAAGTTATTCAATAACAGTAACCACAGCGGCTGATAAATCAAATGGAGTTCGAAAAATGTCTTTACCAATGATATCGGCTTGGAGAGAAACAAAACATTTGGCCAGAAAATATTCCTTTTTATTTTACGGGGGGAATGAGGAAACAGCGTTTGGGTTTTTCACATGCCAATTAACACGGGCAATTAGATATAGGAATGCGTAGGTGAAGTCTGGCCCGCACACAGAAACAAAGCGAGGCCGTGGAGGGGACCGATCCTGCTCCATCGCCCTGCTGAGCCCGACCGGGCCCGCCGGGGCCAGCTGCACGCCAAACACACAGAATTGCCCGCCTTACCTAGTGGAAACAAAACCTGCTTTTTCTTCCTTATTTGTCACTTTTTCCCTTTGTGTGCGTGTGCGTGTGTGCATTCACTCCACAGAACGGGGAAAAAACCAGGGGGAGGGGAGAAAAGAGCCAGAGGAGAACAAAATGTTTTTGTTAAAAATGCATAATAAAAGCAGGGAGAATACTTCCTGGAAAAACATTTCTCTCCGTTAAAACTGCCTAACGAGAACCGCGGCTCGCAGGCTGCGGTGAACGGGGCCCTTTGTGGCGGGGCTCCTGGTGCCTCGCTTGGCCCATACTGCATCGAGGGCACAGTCCTCCGCCGCATCGCGGGGCAGAGCTGCTCGCGCCGGGCCACCGCTGTAGCTCGCTTCCCAAAGCTTGGCGCTGGCTCGAGAGTTTTGGGCCCATCAGGCGATGGGGAAACGCGCGTTTCCCGACCCCTTCCCTTCTGCGCGCTTCTGTCCCTTGCAAACGCAAGTAAAGCGCGCCTGGACCTCTTTACAGGCACCTTTTCAGAATTTTGGTCACATTTCTGTAATCGGGTCTCCCCCTCCGATTTGGCTGATAAATCTCAGGGCCTTGCAGCAATCCATTTATCTACTGTACCACCCTGCCTCTGTTTAGATTTAGCAGTCATCACTTTCCCCATGTGACATCAATCTACATGATATCAGTGTAAACTGTTTGTGTAACGAAGTGTTGTACATTTTATTGTCCTGCCAGCAAAGAAAGGGATAAAACAGCACTTTGTCCGTTGCCTTCGACAAAGGTAATATAATTGACACCAGGCACTCTGCAGTATAGAAACGGACGGAGCTATACGCTGGCCAGTTTCTGCCTTCCTAGCACCAACAGGCCTTGCACGTTTTACTACGTTGTCATTTGCATAACGCATACTTTTTTGAAGAGTAGTATTTTTTGGACTTAGAGGCATTAAAAGATATGCGTCCTAAATCAAACTAAGTTGTAAATACGCATAATTAATTTCTGTGGCAACGACTGCTGTGGCTCTGGTTGGATAACGAGGTAATTGCCTCGCAAAGGCCAGGAGAACGGCGCGGTTGGCTTTCGGAGAGCGAACAAAGCGCTTGCTATGGTTCGCGAGGCATCATTTCTGCATCACTCCACATCGCTTTGATTCATCTGTTACTAATATTCCATGATACACTTACATTATGGATCCAACTATCGCAGCAAACCTGTAATCAAGGACTGACCCTGAATAAAATACTCTACAGAAAACAGATGGTACGCTCATCAAACGCCTTCAAGCCTAAAACAACCTTTCCCATGTATGCAGGATAGTTAATTAAAACTGAACTTCACATTCTGAGCTGGATCTTAATGTAAATAAAAGTCAAGATGATACTTCTGCATTAGTAGACCAAACTTCCAAGACATTTTTTTTTTACTTTTTTTTTTTTTTTGCATACCCCCCAGCAATTACTGTTCACTCAAAAGTAATGGTTTGCTGCGAGCGTAAGCAGGTTTACCAGTTTGGGCCCGACCCTGCAAGCCTGGCATCACAACATCACCGCTCAAGAAATGTCACTGGACCCATGCCTGGCGTCGCCGCGGGTAATACGGCACAGGCCTTCTGCCGCACACCCCGCAGCACGTCCTCTGCCGCTTGGGCTGATTTGACAAAAACAGCGTTAAACCACCCGGCAGCTACGAGGAGGCTCTCTCCCAGCTGCGGGGAGCTGCGTGCTCCCGGGGAGCGGTGGCGCGCTCTCCGTCCCCTTTGAATCAAGAGGTCACCCCCCAGACGTGCCTCTGCACGTGCAAAGTCAAGCTCCCCGCCACGGCAAAACTCCCACGGAAAAAGCCTGCATTTCAGGAACGCCAGAAATACACGAGTCGCTCGCCGACATTTCTTTGGGGCCCTGGGAGCGTAAGCGCGGTCGAGGAGCGCTCTGCACCAGCAACGGGACGCGCCGCGAGCCTCTGCTATTTTGCATGTGTTAGCATACTGCGCCGACAACGACTTTTCAAACATAAATAGCATTGGTTCACATTTGCCCCTTGGAAAACAGTGGACATTTAAGCAGAAGAAAAACATCATTACTTGCGAGAAAAATAAAATAGCTGCAAAGTGACTTACCAAACTCATCACATATACTTTCATTTTCTATGAGAGTTGGATGATCAAAGGTATCCCGACAGTAGAAGATTTGGGGGTTCTTGCTTGTTACCGCAATGCCACCCAGGGCTAAAACAAACTGGTCCGTTAGCACTGAGGAAGGCTTGTCCTGAATGCGCTTTAACATGGAACGGTATCGACAGTACTGCGGGTAGCTGAGAATTAGCAAGTTTGAATCTTCATCATCCTCACCTGGAAGGAAAGAAAAAACAACTAACCTTAATAGAGCAGGAAAATACGAAACAAGGGCTGCAACTCAACAGGGGAGAGCATCTCAGAAAACTCAAGGCCAATAGGGAAAG